CTCAAGAAGCTAGTAGAACATCCAATTACCGGCACAATTGCTCAGATTTATGCATACGCAACAATTCCACCGAAATATATGGGAAATGCCGTCGCATCCAATGTGCATTCATGGCGTCTGCAGTAAAGTAAATGCGATAATCAAAAAAGTGTTCATACCGTTTCTTGAGGACATTCTTTGAAGCATTCTTTGAAGTTGGAAGCATTTTTCAAGCATACTAAATTACATTGCGATGCTTCCACCTTTCCCCCTTTCTTGTCATCTGCAGTACCTTCAAAGCAAAGTGATGGTGGGGGAATACTTACAATCTTCATTCTTCCTGTGGTGCTTACTGTGGTTGGGTTTGCTGCAATTTGTTTCGCCGTGCTATTCGTTTGGCGCTGCTACAAGGCAAGGGCTGCAAAAAGAGCTGCCACGCATGCGCTAGTGGGCGGCACACGTTTGGAAACGACATCTCTAGGCAGGCCTTTCGTTCCCACACCTCTCCATCTCATACAGTGCTTGAACTAACGCATAGGATTTGATTATGAAGTCTTAAGCGTTTTTCTTTATCTTCCTTCAATAATTTGTGTCCTGTGCCATTCGTCATTTTTTTCCACCGCTATGTTTATGCAACCGTCCAAACCGTTGTCTGACCCCCACCCAGAAATCAATGAAGCTGCATCAGCGGCAATGGTTTTTGCGCCGGCAGTTGTAAGGAGGGAAAACTCTGCTTTTGCAGTGGATATCAACACTCACGCAAAAGGAGAACAAGAAGCTGAAGCAGCAGCAGTCGCAGCAGCAATGGCGGCGGCGGCAGCAGCAGCAGCGTCAGCTGCAGTAGAGAGGCAGGATGATGAAATCATCGCAGACATGGAAGCAGCGCGTTTTCAAGTATGCAAAGAGTACTCACTAGCAGAGGTGACAGCAGCAACATCAAACTGGGCTGAGGGGAACAGGCTCGGCAGCGGCAGCTTCGGGGATGTTTTCAAGGGAGTGTCTCCTCATAGCTGCGACCAGATATGGGCTGTCAAACGGGCTCGAATCCTCACCAATGACTTCCAGACTGAGGTACCACATGGCACTTGTCATGGCCTGCAAGCACCACCCCGTCTCATGGGTTTTCTAGGCCGCCGCATTGACTTGAAAGTGAGCGAATAACTTCATCATTACTCCTCATCTCTTTCCATGCTTCTTCTCATGTTAATCCAGGTGAAGGAGATGGCGAGCAAGCATCACCCCCATCTCGTGCGTCTCTTAGGCTACTGCTTCGACTTCAACCCGACCACAAGGCACATGGAGCAAATCCTGATCTATGAGTTCATGCAAAACCACGACCTCCAGAGCTGGATCGGGCCGGGCGCAACCGTTCCGCTTTCGCTGCCCCAGCGGTTGGACGTTCTGATCGGAGTGGCAAAAGGGCTGCAGTATCTGCATGACTTTGGGATTGTGCACCGGGACATCAAGCCCGCCAACATTCTCCTTGGCACGAAAATGGAGGTACATCCAAACCTGCTTGAAGCCCTCTGTGTGTGTGTGTGTGTGTGTGTGTGTGTGTGTGTGTGTGTGTGTGTGTGTGTGTGTGTGTGTGTGTGTGTGTGTGCGTGCGTGCGTGCGTGCGTGCGTGTGTGCGTGTGTGTGTGTGTGTGTGTGTGTGAGAGAGAACTTCCTTAAAGTTTCTTATCCTCTCATCATTGCCATTGTCACTGTTGCTTACCCATCCTCTCATCGCATCATTGTTTGCAACTCTAAGAACAGGCCAGTATTGCAAGCTTTGTTCTTCCTTGCCGCATAATCACTCTGAAGTTGTCTTCTTACAATCACTTATCCTCTCATCGTTGCCTTTAATTGCTGTCGCTTACACACCCTCTTATCTTGCCGACGTTTGTGATTATGTGATTGTGAGAAGGCCAAGATTGCAGATTTTGGCCTTGTGAAGCTAAGTGGCGGCACAACCATGGGAACATCCGTGGTTGCTACAAGAGTTATGGGAACTCCAGGCTATGTGGACCCTGCATATTACAAGTCACACAAAGCCACTCCAGCAGCAGATGTGCACAGGTACAGAGTGGTGCCAGCCGGTATCGGGTAAGTACAATAGAGATGGGATCGTCGGGCTATGTGAACACTGCATACGGTCAGTCTCACAAGGCTACTCCATCGACAGACATGCACAGGTGGGAGGACACATGGGAGGACACATGGATCAGCGTAGTGTCTCTAGTTGTTTAACATCATCCACAAAGACATTACATGTTTGTACCGATCGTGTTAGTGTGGAAAGAGAGGTGCGTTGTAGCCCAAGCGAAATAAAGGCCCATGTACACAGGCCACATACACCACTGTTTTCTTAAGTTCTGAGCTGTGCTGTGTCCTTGTGATTGTTTGGCGTGTTGGCAGCTTTGGAGTGGTGATGCTTGTGGTGATCACGGCACGCAAGGCAGTTCACGTGACAGAGGACACGCTCTTCAACCTCAAGCAATGGGTGAGACACAGGGCTCTCGCTAGGATTTCTGCCCGTCTGAAAACATACATACAAAAAACCGTTTCGTCTGACTTTCAGACGGGAAAATTTCGCTGGTCTGATTTTCCAGACTAATATTCATGGTACGTCTGAAATTTCAGACGGAATTTTTTTCCACGTCTGATGTTGCAACTAACAACTTGATGACGCAGCAACGCACTAGACTGCATGTTAGGGGACAGTAAGGCGCGGGACTTGAGAAAAGGGCGCTGGGGTACTGTACGAACGAGGGAATCGACCTGTGAAAGTGGAGTGGAGGAGAGGTTTGGCTGGACTAGGGTACTGTAGCGAGGGAGTTGTGAGGGAAGGTTGGGGCTAGGTAAGGTGTGAATTGGGGGGAGGAGACTCTGCTAAAGAGGTGTGAGAGAGTTGGGGGAAGGGCTGGGCTGGAGTTGGTAGGGCGGCTGGTCCGGTAGATGCGAGGGGGACTTTGCGCTGGGCTGACAGACGTGAGGGGGACTTGGCTGGTTTGGTAGAGGCGAAGGGAGCTTTGCGGGTCTGGTAAAGGCTAGGGGGACTTTGGTTTGGGTTGGACTGGTAGACGCGAGGGGAACTTGGTTGGGCTGGTAGAAGCGAGGCTGGCTCAGTCAGTGAGGCGAGGCGAATTATTAGATACAGCCACCAAGGTGCAGGAACCGACAGCCTGAGGCCATGTGGACAAATGTCAGTGTCAGACGAAATGGAACTCGCTATCTGAAATTTCAGATGAAGTATAACCCACGCTCCGGAAAATCAGATGAACTATAATCCATTGTCTTATGGATCAGACGAAATAAAAAGCATTGTCTTAGAAATCAGATGAAAGCGAAAATCAAGGTCTGAAAATCAGACCATCAGACCAATTTGGTCTGATAACGAGAGCCCTGGTGAGACAGGAGTGATGGGCGGGGCACGAGTGAAGGGTGGGGATTGAGTGATGGTTGAGGCATGAGCAAAGGGTGAGGTATGGTACGAGGCTGCTCCTGGCACGAGACGAGGAGATCAACCATGTAGTTCCTTACACACTGCAATGGTCGCCATCTACCGTATTCGTTTCTTGCACCCTTCATATTACCTACTTCCATTTCCCCTCACATGCACCCCTCATGATTACGGTACTTTAGCGGGATAAGCTACCCCCTTATGCACATTGCCTGAACAATGCAGGTGGCTCCCCTGGTGGCGTCAAGCAACGTGATGGCCTTCAAGGACCCCTATCTAACCGCACCCGATGATCTCATACTGCGCATGGCTCGGCTCGCCCTCTCCTGCACCGCCCTGCCCACGGCATCTCGCCCCACCATGAGTCAAGTGCTGGTGGAGCTAGTGAAAATGAGGGGGGAGGTTGTGGAGGAGAAGGGGAGCAGGGCTGCATCACGAATTGACAGGGAGATTGACAGCTCTGCTGAGGCTGACTTTGATGCCCAGATGGCTCGCTTGGAGCTTGTTGGTAGCCAGAGTGGTCCATCCACTGACATGGTCTGATGCTGCGCATGGCTCGTCTAAGACGAGTCGTCTTGCTCTCTCCAATACCCCCTCTCCTGCACTGCCATGCCCACGACATCTGGCCCAACCGTGAGCCAAGCGCTGGTGGAGCTGGTTAAGATGAGGTGGATGAGAAGGGGAGTAGGGCCGCGTCATGGATTGACAGGGAGAATGATAGTTCTGCTGAGGTTGATTTTGATGCCTAGAGTGACCCATCCAGTGGCATGATGAGAGTGCTGCGCATAGTGCTGTGCATAAGTGTGAATTCACCAAGGAGTTGGTATGATACATAGGAATCATTGTCTAGGAGTCATTGTCACTAGTATGTGAAACCCATGTGTACCCATGGATGTGCTCTTCAACGTAGCTTGACTACTGAGCTTGACTACTGGAAGGCCAGTGTACTGCAAAAATGCGAAAAGCTCCAGGTTCCACCTATGCTTATTGACAGATGAACAGCTACTGGTTTTCTTCCACAATCAGCCATCACGCTGTAACGCAGGACAGGTTATTACGAGGCAATGCTTGTCTCCTGATAAATGTTTCATCCCGACATATAGTCTCACATCCCTTTTCTACGATTTGCCCCAAACTGTTTATCCCTTATTACGTTTGCCTCATCGCGTAGTTGTCACCTTGCCAATTATCACCAAGGTCAAATAGCTTACTCTTTGCACATACGGGAGTGGTAAAGAGAACGATACGATGATGGGCGAGCAAAACGCTACTCAAGGATGTAGGAATGAAGGAGATGGGAATGAAAGGTGCAAAACGGAGGGTGCTGAGAGATGAGAAGGACGGGGAGCATAGTAAGGTTTGAACCAAACGTGCGACAGACATGATTTGCCATCAGTGCAATCGTGAAACCAGGTCTCTGTTCATTTACTCAGTTGTTACTCCAGATAAGAACCTGGGGAAAACGGCGCTAGCAGTTGACAAGTGAAAATCCAAAATCGATCGATGAAGGTAATATCAACAACACAAAACGACAAAGCAGTTGCAAAATCTGAGATACATGCCGTCCAGAATCCGCTTATCGGCCACGCGAGAGAGCACGCTCGGCGATGCCGACCTCCTCGATTATTCTGTCGAGCCGCTTCTTCGGGATGGGGTAGGTTGGTCCGAAGCTGATGTAGTGACCAGAGATGGCGTTGAGGACGGAATACATGTTGCTGTAGGACGGCCTGCCGGCCACGCTCTTCTCACGGCGGTACCTCGCCACCCACGTGTTGGACAGCTCACGGAGATCACTCACGGCTTCGCTCCTAGCGGGGTCGTCTCTAGCGAGGCCCAGAGTGTACCTCACTCTCTCGATGACGTTCGTCGTCGCCTTAACATAGTCCTCCTCAAAGTCAGCCAAAGCAAGACCGGGGGCGGAGAGCACAGCTGCAAGGGATGCTACTCCGGCAAGAGAAAGAGTCCTGCGGGAAACGGTTGGCTCCAGGGAAGCCTCAACAGGTGAGACCCGCTTCACGGGAATGCTGACAACCACAGCAGCATCGGCCAGCTTCTCGGTCCTAGGAAGGAACGAGGTCTTCAGGGTAGCGCTAGAGGTCGACGCGACAGCGCAAAGAGCCATCTTGCTGGAAACAGGATGACCAGGCAAGAGCAGATCGGTATCGACTATTCGAAGAGATCAAGAAACCAGCAACAAGTACTGCACAATAAATAGAACGTGAAATGCAGAACTGGATTTACATTTCAGACCAACTTTCTGTGGAGTCAGCTCTTCAGCGCAGCAGCAACCATTCGCTGGTTTGGCGGGGAACTTCCTCGAGCAATTCTCAAGGCAGGCACAGACGAGCTGGCGGGGAAGCATCACCAGAAAGCGGATGGGGATTCATCACTGGCGCGGTTGGCGCCAGCGTGTCATCGACCAGGTGTCCTGCGTGGAATGGATATGTGCTGATTCGGAAAATTTGATGCCTCGTTGGATGCCGTGTGGAGCTGTCCACGTCCGCAGTCACCATCGATCCGCACGAGCGCCACGTCGAAGCGGGGTGGTTTTGTGCTCTTGAAACTGCCACCGAACCATCAACAACAGCTTCAGGCTCGAAGTTGTCGAAGCACTTCGTCAAAGCTGTTGTGGAGGTTTGGAAATACAATGAAAGAACAACACAATAATGCAATTCATCCTACGTACTATGGACAAGAAATCTAATGGTTAGCTTTCTAACCTGGATTCTAACAAGCCATATGAATATACGTCAGAATAGAACTCGACAAAACATGTTATGTGATCATTTAATCTCTCCACAATCAGCAATCACCACTGGTAAGCGAGGACGCTCATCCCCTGAACCAGGAGGCTTTGCAAGCTTGTTTATTCGCTCTACTACTTCCCAACCTGACACCTGCAACAAAGAAAAACACAAAACACGGTTCTCAACGTTTGACACAATTCATATCACGTGTAGCTGAAAACATTACTGCCTTACCACTTGGCCAAAAATGGGGTAATGTCCGTCTAAATGTGGTGCCGGAGCCACTACAATAGAGAAATGTGTGGTGGTGGTATCTGGCCCAATGTTGGCTGCTGATAGCAAGCCCTTCTGCACGCGGAATGGAGAGGATGCAAAACAGTTCGGCAAGAAAGGGTAATCCAATGTGAAGAGGTGAGTCTTGCGCCAATTCTGACTTCCAATGACAAGGCGTTAGGCATTGGCAGGTGGAGAGGATAAGCATTGTAAAATTTTAGGTGAATTCATTGTCGATAGCAAACCCTTATACCTCCACCCACCTTGTTGTGCGCCAACAGCAGAGCTACAAGCGGATCATCCTTGAAGCTCCCCCCATAAATGCAGAGAGCAAGCTACTCGATAGCACAAGCCCCCACCCACCTTGTTGTGCTTCAACAGCAGAGCTAGCGGGTCATCCTTGAAGCTCCCCCCATAGATGCTCTCTGTATTGATCCCAGTCTGGCAGATAAACCGGTCGATCACTCGGTAAAACTCAGCTCCCTTGTAATGCAGCGGCAATCCTGCCCCCTCCCTGCCCGGTTCATTCGGCACCCGTCCTTTCTCCCCCGTACACAGCGCCCGGAAATTTTCAGCTGCCCGGGGCGCCTGCTTGGTGAAGAGCTCGAAGATTATTCTGCCCGCGGGCCGCCCGTCGATGTTAATGTCGAAGAAAACTTTAGGCTTGGGGTAATCCATGGGGTCGGTGGTGAGGAGGCCGGGGGGGCGCGGGCGGATGGCTATGCCTGCTAGCTCATCCCCCACCCCGTCATCCATGCCATACTGCGCGGTCCTCCTGGTGTAATGAATGGGGGTGGATGAGGGAGAATGAGCCTTAGGTGGCGGTGGTGAGAAGGCCGGGCGGGCGGATGGCAATGCCTGCTAGGTCATCGCCCACCCCGTCATCCATGCCATACTGCGCGGTTTTCCTGGTGTGGGTGGGGAGAGGGGCAACAGGAAAGGACAGCTCAGAACAAGTTAGGCTTGGGGTAATCCATGGGGTCAGTGGTGAGGAGACCGGGGGGGCGGGGGCGGATGGCAATGCCTGCTAGGTCATCGCCCACCCCGTCATCCATGCCATACTGCGCGGTCCTCCTGGTGTGGGTGGGGAGAGGGGCAACAGGAAAGGACAGCTCAGAACAAGTTAGGCTTGGGGTAATCCATGGGGTCAGTGGTGAGGAGACCGGGGGGGCGGGGGCGGATGGCGATGCCTGCTAGGTCATCCCCCACCCCGTCATCCATGCCATACTGCGCGGTCCTCCTGGTGTAATGAATGGGGGTGGATGAGGGAGAATGAGCCTTAGGTGGCGGTGGTGAGAAGGCCGGGCAGGCGGATGGCAATGCCTGCTAGGTCATCGCCCACCCCGTCATCCATGCCATACTGCGCGGTCCTCCTGGTGTGGGTGGGGAGAGGGGCAACAGGAAAGGACAGCTCAGAACAAGTTAGGCTTGGGGTAATCCATGGGGTCAGTGGTGAGGAGACCGGGGGGGCGGGGGCGGATGGCTATGCCTGCTAGCTCGTCCCCCACCCCTTCATCCATGCCATAGGGGGTGGTCCTCCTGTAAAAAGATTATTTTTGAGACGTCTCAAAAATAATATTTTTACACGTGGCTATGCCTGCTAGCTCGTCCCCCACCCCGTCGTCCATGCCATAGGGGGTGGTCCTCCTGTGATTGAACCCACGGAGGGTGGGGACAGAGGAGGAAGGGGGTGGGATGGGAGAGGAGAGGCGAGAAAAGAGCGATAACCAGCAGCAGGCACTCACCCAATGTCAATGTCAGTGTGAGACCCATTGTCAGTCTAAGGCCTGCCTGATTACAGGGTGAGACCCAATGTCAATGGCAATGTGGAATGGAAGAGAGCAGGCCCAGGCAAAACCCAGGGTTACCTTGGGTTACACCAGCGTTACCAACCAACATGAGGGGAACGCGAGTACCTGTGGTTGGCGATTATGGCGACAGCTAGATAGCCCAGCACCCATCCCACGATGACCGACAGCAGACCCAGGCGCACCCTGCTCGAGCTAACACGCTTCAACACCTGGTGGTGAGAGGGGAAGAGGAAGGTGGGGAGGAGGGGAAGGGGGGAGAGTAATTGGAGAAGGGCGAGAGTGAGCAGCGTGGTTTGACCGAGAGCAGGCCCAGGCACACCCTGCTCGACCCTCCGCGCTTCAACGCCTGGGAAAGATGGGGAGGGAGTAGCGGTTGGCGGGGAAAGTGAAGAGAGAGTGAAATGGTCGGCGGCGGCGTGCAATTCACGTGGAATCCGGGACGCGGAGAAGTTGAAAAGCTGGCGTTCAGTGCTTCGGCGGTCCGCTTTTGTAGTACCTGAAACATTGGGAATGCCGGGTTCGCGACGTCCGGCGACTCAAACGACCGACGTGCGACTTCGCCTCGAGGGCTATACGATATGATGGTCAGCCAAACACGCCAATTCTTTACGTCTGAAAAAAAAGACAAGCCACGATCACGAATCCGCGCTGACAGGATCGTCGGAACGAGTTAAGAGAATCTAAAATGTGATGTGCTTCTTCTACAAAGGAAGATGGCTGTGAAAAGAACAGGGTACTGTATCGAGAATTCAGCCGCATATTGCGGGCTACCGAACTGATTAGCTGAGTCCAAGTGGCCTGACAAATGTTCAAGGAAATTAGCCGCGTATTAACATGCTCGCTAATATCAATAGGAAATCCTATTTATATGCATCCCGCGTATGCTTTGCAACTGCCGTATGTTAGGGCGCAGACCTCAACACTCACGTGCTACGAATTAGATTGACATTTCAGGTTTCGAGCCACAGTTTCAGCAATATTGTGGGATTTGGAACTCGGCGAAACGCATTAGCGACGGATACGATTTGTGTAACTGAAGCAAAGACGTATTCGAGGGAATACGGGACAGCTCCGAAAGTGAAACCGAAATTTGAAGCGCGTTCGCATTCAACACTCATGTTTTCGTCATGGTAACCACGTCCTTCCAGTTCGCAAACACCAACATCTGTCATCAGGGTTCAGGTTTCTGGTCTTACATAATTAGGGTTTCCTAGACAAAATTGTCTGGTCATGGTTTTCCGGAGTTTTTGTTTCACTCGCTCTAGTTACACATAATGGCACCATCCGGTCGCGTGCGATTCGTGTGTCGCGGGCGAAGCGTGCGAATTGCACGCGATCGCTCGTGGGACGATTCCGATCCGTTGCGCACCGCCGCGGAAGCGGGTGAAACCGCCGCGCGGAGAGCTGCGACGATATATCCCGCGCCGGCGGAAGCGGGAAAGACAGCGGGAGCGGGAGGTCTAGCAGCGGCGCGGGAGCAGGAAATGCTTCTGAAATCGAGGGAGGATCAATGGCTGAACGTCCTTCCGCATGAGGTGGGGAGGAGAGAGTGGAAAAGGTGGAGGGGAGAGACGGATAGTAGAGGGAAAAGAGGGTGCGGGAGAGGCGGAAGGTTGTGTGTGGGCCAGGAGAGGAATTGATAATTGCCGAGGGAGGACCGATAGCTGAACGTGCTGCTCTGCTCCTTTCCCCTCCTTTCATGATCCCTTCTCCCCATTGGGCCAGAGGAGCAAGCGCGGCGGAATGCTTCCGTCGATGGTGAGAAATGTCTAGACATCTCCCAATTCTCAAGACATTTCTTCTCCGCAGACATCTCTCAATTCTCTCCCCGTGTCGAACCCCATGTCCCGCACTTACAACTCCATGTATGACTGCTGCTTTCCTCCTTCCCCTAGCACAGCGAGTTCGGGGGTACACCTCCAACGTCAATGGCGCCGTTTCTCCCCCCCCTGTACGACGATGTACCTCCTTATTCCTCTCTCCCCCCCTCACTCCTCCCTTCTTCCCCTGCCGCCCCATCTCCCCAGCGCAGCAAGTGCGGTGGTATACGTCCAACGTCAACGGCACCGCATCTTTTCAATCTGTACGGTGGTATACCTCCTTTCTCTTGTCTCCCCCTGGGTCTCCCCCTGTGTCTCCCCCTGGGTCTCCCCCTGTGTCTCCCCCTGGGTCTCCCCCTGTGTCTCCCCCTGTGTCTCCCCCTGTGTCTCCCCCTGTGTCTCCCCCTGTGTCTCCCCCTGTGTCTCCCCCCTTTCCCCCTCTTCAACTACCGCCCCCTCCCCAGCGCAGCAAGTGCATTGGTATACGTCCAACGTCAATGGCGCCGTGCCGACCTCTCTGCTGCACCGCCTAGTCAGCGCTGACGTGGACAGCAAGCTTACCACGCTGGCAGGAGGCGATGCCACGCTGGGAAACCGGCTGCTCGCCCTTCCCCTGGTACAGAGAATTCCGCGCACAGTCACATTCTGCAGCGGCACTCTCGATATTGTCACATTCTGTACAGTCACGCTTTCGATGTAGTAACTTCTCTGCAGTTACGTCCATCTGTGTGCATACCATTGTATGTAGACACCTCAACGAGAGGTGCGTTGGGACAGCTACTAGAACTTTGTCATTGGCTGAATTGGCTGTCTCATTTCTGAAGTGAGAGACTTCACATTTGTGTTGAACTCCTGACTCGCCTCCAGTGATATAATCTTTAGTTCTCATTACTCTTCTTACCTCTCTCGCCCACCCCACTTCGCCACCACCTCTCTGAGCCGCCTCAAAACTCATCCTCCCCTCCCTTCCTCCTCCCTCCCCACACACACATCTATGCCTCCCACTTCCCAGTCCCCCCTCGTCTCACCTCCTCCTCTTCCCCTCGGGTCACCGCTACGACTGCCTTGCCGCCACCACCCACCACTCCGTCCCCCTCAACCCTTCAAGTTGTATTCTTTGCAATTTCCCCCTTTTCTTTTTCCGTTTGTTCCCTACACCCCCCACCAGACCGCTTCGTCTCATCTCCTGCTCTTCCCCTCGGGTCATCGCTATGACTGCCTTGCTGCCACCACCCACCACTCTGCAACCCTTACCACCCCCCCCCACCCCCCCCCCTGCTTTCCTTTTTTCCGTTTGTTCCCAACATCCCCCTCCAGAGCCCCTCGTCTCACCTCCTGCTCTTCCCCTCGGGTCATCGCTACGACTGCCTTGCTGCCACCACCCACCACTCCAGCCTTGGAAGCAGCAATTATGCGGGGGAAGCGGAGGGAGGGGCGCAGGGGTGTGTGGTGCGGGGGAGCAGAGTGGGGAAGAAGATTCTGCAGGTGAGGGGGAGGGGGGGAGGTGGAGGGGGTGGGGGAACAGAGAGAGGGGCATGCAGGGGAAGGGCGCGGGTGTGTGACGGGGGGGGATGGGGGGGAGAGTGAGGAAGAAGATTGTGCAGGTGAGGGGAGGGAGAGGGGGCTGGAGTTTGGGGTTGGGGGATAGATGTGTAGTTTTGAGGCGCCTCAGAACTAGATACATGTGTTTCACTCCTCTTGAGATTGCCTCCTTTTCTTCTCTGTATCCCACCGAACTCTCCCTTCTCGTGCCCCTCACCCGCTTGCTGAGTCATAAAAAAATATATATATATATGTATATATATATATATATATATATATATATGTATATATATATATATATTCCCTGAAAACAGCCCTCTCTTTCTCTGCTCTTACTGATGACTCCCTCCCCTCCCTACCCCACTCTGCTTATTCGCGCCTCCCCACCCTAGCTCACAGCCTTTAACAGTGGTAACAGGGGTACACACGCCGCCCTGCCTTGTTTCGGAGACAAGGCGGAAGGCTCCTTTGCAGACGACCAAGAGGGGTGGGGGAGGCCAGGAGATGGGCGGCAGGGGATGGGCCAGGAGCAGCAGCAGCAGCAGCAGCCAGTCATGAGCTGCCACGTGGCAGCGCGATCCATGCACCATGCTCACCTGCTCTCTCTGTCGTACGATACTGATGGCTGCAGCAGCGGCAGGGATGGCGGTTGTGGCAGGGATGGCAGTCGTGGGGGGGATTTTGGTGATTTCGAAGGGTTGAAGGCGAAGCGCCTGCTCTCTCTCGCATCGCCAACGCCTCTTGCACATGTGTGTTGGGGGGGGGGGGGGGGGGGGAGGGGTGGAGAGAGGGGGGGGGGGGGGGGGAGGGGGGGAGAGGGGGGAGGCTTGACTTTTGAGTCGACTCAAAAGCGCGGGGGGGGAGAGTGGGGGAGAAAGAGGGGGGAGAGTGGGGGAGGGCGGGGCAGAGTGCGTGGGCGCTTGTGTGTTGGTGTGTGTTTCATCGGAAAATGGCAAAAGAAACGTTTGGATTACGTGGCGCTGTCAGATCAGATGCGCCGGCTAGAATGGATGGAGGTGTGCTTGGTTGTGCTTTTCTGTTCGTTCGTTCCGATGTCTCGTCACATATCCTCCCTCCCCCCCCCCCCCCCTCCATCTCTTCCCCTCCTCTGCTTACCATACACACTTCCGATGCTCCCTTCCATTCCTCTCGCCAACTCTTCCCCCTACAAGTAGCCTTCCGTCCCTCCCCTCTCCTGTGCCACGCCACCGGCCAATTGCACCCAATTGACCTGCATCGCCCCCCTCCGTCCGTGCCCTTGCTTCTTACCATCCAGTTCCTTTTTGATATTCTCCTCCCTCTTCCCTTCTCATCTGTTTTTTACCCTGTGCTCTACAGACTACAGGTAACCTTCCGCCCTGCCTGCTCCTCCCCCGTCCCCACAACTCGCTCTCATCACCACCACCGGTTGATTGCAAGTGTTTCACACACCTTACCCCCCTTTGCTCTTCTCTGCCTCCCTCCCAATTATTCCCCTTACAGGTAACCTTCCGCCCTGCCTGCTCCTCT